AGGAGAGCAAACCACAGACCACTTAATACAATGCAGTCTGAGCCCTGCCACGTGCACAATGAAGGACCTTCTTACAGTGACACCAGAGGCACTCCAAGTGGCCAGCTTCTGGTCAAAGAGAGGAAGAACTGTTTAACGCTACAGACCATGTAGTCAATGTTGTCCATTTTTGGTCTATAATTATTTAGCTGCTTGTGCTCCCTTTAATTTATCAGTTTGATATTTATTTATGCAATGCTTTTGACAGGAAGTAATAACAGTTTGCCATGGAATTCATCTCACCTTTAAGTGATCAGCAATCAATGTATTGTCAAAGACTTTCATGGAATCACTGGGTTGCTGTAAGTTTTTTGGGCTGTATGGCCATGTTCCAGAAGCATTCTCTCCTGATGTTTCACCTGCATTTATGTCAGGCATCTTAAGAGGTTGTGAGGTCTGTTAGAAACTAGGAAAATTGGGTTTATATATCTCTGAAATGTCCAGGGTGGGAGAAAGAACTCTTGTCTGTTGGAGGTAGGTATGAATGTTTCAATTGGCCATGATACCATGCAGCTGTGGACAACTCTACATAGGGACCACCAAACGCAGCATTGCCCGAACATGAATGGTACTGCAGACTAGCTCAACCACAGAAGTCAGCCATAGCAGAGCACCTGATGAACCATCCTGTTCACAGCATATTATTTGAGAACACATAAATGCTGGACCACTCCAACAACCACCATGTCAGGCTACACAGAGAAGCCACTGAAATCCACAAGCATGTGGACAATTTCAACAGACAGGAGGAAACCATGAAAATGAACAAAATCTTGCTATTACTATTTAAAAAAAACCCCTCTAAAATCATAACAGCAAATAAAGAACAACATTCAAAAACAGGGGAACTCCAGACAAGAAACTACCAGGGACAGTTAATCACCTCTCAAGAAAGGATTCCCCCAGGCAGTAAGAAGCCAGACCTCGAAAACTGCTCGGCTATTAAATGCTAATCAAGGTGGCCAATTGAAACATTCACACCTACCTCAACAGACAAGAGTTCTTTCTCCCACCCTGGACATTATACCACAGATATGTGGAATTTATGTGAATGTCCTCCATTAGTTGTAGTCTTCTAACCACCAACCCAATACAAAAAATGGGGAAAAAAGAAAAAAAAGAGGATGCCTGCCATAGATGTAGGCGAAACGTCAAGAGAGAATGCTTCTAGAGGATAATAGTATTAATATTAATAATTAATACTTTATTTATACCCCACCACCAACTCCTCAACGGAGACTCAGGGCGGCTAACATGAGGCCAAGCCCAACAATTACAACAAATCGAAATAAAATACATACAACAAATAATAAACCCAAATGAAATATAAACAAAACAAATTAATACAAAATCAAATAAAGGAAATGAAATAAAATAATAAAAATGTGCACACTGGGCTGGGCTGAGTTAAAGGGGTAGAATTAAAATATACAAACCCTGGGTGAGATGGATGAGTAGGGTAGTGTGCGTGATGGGGGGATTTCAGGTGGGAACAGCAATGGGGAGAATATCATTGAAGGATGAGATAAAGTGCATCAATGGGCATATTGTGCTGAGCTGGTCATGGTACTCATTCCTCAAAGGTACACCAAAACAGCCAGGTTTTTAGGCTCTTCCTGAAGGCTGCCAGGGTGATAGTATGATAGCTGGGTCCAGAAGCTCCAAGTGTTACGGAGATGCCGCAAAGGCGGCTGTGAATAAGGGAAGAGAGGCTGCGGGGGGAGAGCGGGGAGAGAGAAGGAAGGATTGAAAAGAGGGGACGCTTAGGGTAAGGGTTAGGACAAGGTTTAGGGTTTGGGTTACGGTTAGGGTAAGGGTAAGGGTTAGGAGTTACGGTTAGGGTACAGTTTAGGATAAGGGTTAGGGCAAGCTTTAGGGTTTGGGTTAGGGTTAGGGTAAGAGTTAGGGGTTACGGTTAGAGTATAGTTTAAGGTTAGGTTAAGGGCTAGGGCAAGGTTTAGGGTTTGAGTTAGAGTTAGGGTAAGAGTTAGGGGTTACGGTTAGGGTATGGTTTAGGGTTAGGGTAAGGGTTAGGGCAAGGTTTAGGATTTGGGTTAGGGCTACGATTAGGGTACGGTTAAGGGCTAGGGCAAGGTTTAGGGTTTGAGTTAGGGTTATGGTTAGGGGTTACAGTTAGTGTACGGTTTAGGGTTAGGGTAAGGGATAGGGCAAGATTTAGGGTTTGGGTTATGGTTAGGGTAAGGGTTGGGGTTACGGTTAGGGTACAGTTTAGGGTTAGGGTCAGGGTTAGGGCAAGGTTTGGGGTTTGGGTTATGGTTAGGGTTAGGGGTTATGGTTAGGGTACAGTTTAGGGTTAGGGTTAGGACAAGGTTTAGGGTTTGGGTTACGGTTAGGGTAAGGGGTTACGGTTAGGGTACGGTTTAGAATTAGGTTAAGGGTTAGGGCAAGGTTTAGGGTTTGGGTTATGGTAAGGGTTAGGGGTTACGGTTGGGGTACAGTTTAGGTTTAGGGCAAGGTTTAGGGTTTAGGTTAGAGTAAGGGTTAGGGGTTATGGTTAAGGTACAGTTTAGGGTTAGGTTAAGGATTAGGTTAAGGTTTAGGGTTTTGGTTAGGGTTATGGTAAGGGGTTATGGTTAGGGTACAGTTTAGGGTTAGGGTAAAGGTTAGGGCAAGGTTATCATACTATTACCGCTGCCAGGGTGGGCTCTTGGCTAATCTCTCCGGGTACCCAATTCCAAAGCCGAGGGGCCACCATGGAGAAGGATCTCTCCCTTGTCCCCACAAGTCGTGCTTGAGAAGGAGGGGGAAGCGAGAGGAGGGCCTCCCCTGGGGATGGGAAATAATAATAATAACACTTTATTTCTACCCCGCTACCATCTCCCCAAGGGACTTGGTGCGGCTTACATGAGGCCGAGCCCAAACACAACAATACAAGCAATCGCAGCGCCCAAACACGAATCAAGGAACATGTAAGGCACTGCAGACTACTTCAACCAGAGAAGTCAGCCATAGCAGAGCACCTGATGAACCAGCCTGGACACAGCATATTATTTGAGAACACAGAAATGCTGGACCACTCCAACAACCACCATGTCAGACTACACAGAGAAGCCACTGAAATCCACAAGCATGTGGACAATTTCAACAGAAAGGAAGAAACCATGAAAATGAACAAAATCTGGCTACCAGTATTAAAAAACTCTAAAATTACAACAGCAAAACAGCAGAGAGGAAACAACCAGGCACATCTTAACACCTCTCAACAAAAGATTTTGCCAGGCTCAGGCAGGCCTTCAAATGCTAATGAAGGTAGTCAGCTGAAACATTCACACCTAGTATTGTCGAAGGCTTTCATGGCTGGAATCACTAGGTTCTTGTGGGTTTTTTCGGGCTATATGGCCATGTTCTAGAGGCATTTCTCCTGACGTTTCGCCTGCATCTATGGCAAGCATCCTCAGAGGTAGTGAGGTCTGTTGGAAGTAGGACAATGGGTTTATATATCTGTGGAATGGCTGGGGTGGGGCAAGGAGCTCTTCTCTGCTAGAGCTAGGTGTGAATGTTTCAACTGACCACCTTCATTAGCATTTGAAGGCCTGGCTGAGCCTGGGAAATCTTTTGTTGAGAGGTGTTAAGATGTGCCTGGTTGTTTCCTCTCTGTTGTTTTGCTGTTGTAATTTTGGAGTTTTTCAAGCATGTGGACAATTTCAACAGAAAGAAGGAGACCATGAAAATGAACAAAATCTGGCTACCAGTATTAAAAAAACTCTAAAATTACAACAGCAAACAGCAGAGAGGAAACAACCAGGCACATCTTAACACCTCTCAACAAAGATTTTCCCAGGCTCAGGCAGGCCTTCAAATGCTAATGAAGGTGGTCAGTTGAAACATTCACACCTAGCTCCAGCAGAGAAGAGCTCCTTGCCCCACCCCAGCCATTCCACAGCCATTCCACATAAACACTTTTTTCTATTTCCAACAGACCTCACTACCTCTGAGGATGCTTGCCATAGATGCAGGCGAAACGTCAGGAGAAGTGCCTCTAGAATATGGCCATATAGCCCAAAAAAACCTACAAGAACCTAGAAAATATATATCAATAATTGGTTGGGGGAGGGGGGGCGCCAAAATATTGTTTGCTTACCGTTGAAAATTACCTAGGGCCTCCTCTGCTTGCGAGGGAGGGGGAAGCGAGAGGAGGGCCTCCCCAGAGGATGAAAAAGGTCCTGCATAGCCATAGTAAAGGTAAAGGTTGTCCCCTGACATTAAGTCTAGTCATGTCTGACTCTGGGGTGTGGTGCTCATCTCCATTTCTAGGCCGAAGAGCCAGCGTTGTCCATAGACACGTCCAAGGTCATGTGGCCGGCATGACTGCATGGAGCGCCCTCACCTTCCCGCCGGAGCGGTACCTATTGATCTACTCACATTTGCATGTTTTCGAACTGCTAGGTTGGCAGAAGCTAGGGCTGACAGCGGAAGCTCACGCCGCTCCCCGGAATCGAACCTGCGACCTTTCGATCAACAAGCTCAGCAGTTCAGTGCTTTAACCCACTGTGCCACTGGGGGCTCCCATACTGGGATATATAGTTCACCTAAAATCAAAGACCATTCTGAACTCCACCAATGATGGAATTGAACCCAATATGGCACACAGAACTCCCACGACGAACAGAAAATATATATCAATAATTGGCTGGGGGGGGCGCCAAAATATTGTTTGAAAATTACCTAGGGCCTCCTCTGCTTGCGAGGGAGGTGGAAGCGAGGGGAGGGCCTCCCCAGAGGATGAAAAAGGTCCTGCATAGCCATACAGCCCTAAAAACTTACAGCAACCTGATCAGCAATCAGTTGCTTGTCTTTACAGTCCTTGATTGTCTTGATTGGAGGTTATGGCTGTCAGTCTGGGGAACGACCCCGCCCTCGGCTCCTCCCAGAGCAGCGACAGAAGCGGGGAGAGGCGCTGTGATTGGCTGCCCGCCGGCCCAATGGCGGGGCGGGGCGCGGGAGGCGCGTGAGCAGAAATGGAGCTCCGCGCGCGTGCGTGCCACACCCGAGAGGCGAGGAGAGCCAGAAGTAGCAGTAATAGAAGCACTAGAAGCAGCGGCGTTGGCGTTGCCTGCGATGGGAGGGATTAACTACGTGAGACGGAGCAAGGCGGCGTTAGCGAGAGAGGAGGAGAACCAAGAGGAGGGGGAGGAGGGCGCGGAGTCCTCGTGGGAGGAGCTGCCCACGCCGCCGCCCTCGCCCTCCTCGCCTTCGCCCTCCTCGCCGTGGGGGAAGCCGGCCGGGGCCTGCGCCTGGGGCCCACAGAGGGGCGCAGAGATGCTGGGCGCAGCCGGCGGCGGCGCGGGGCCCAAGGCGGCCAAGCCCTCCTTCGTCTCCTACATCAGCCCCGAGGTGAGCCAGCGGAGGGGAAGGAAGGAAGAAGCCCTTGGCAAGGAAGGAGAGCGGCCGTTGGGAGGCCGAGGGAGGGAGGGAGGGAGGGAGGGGGGAAGGGGCGCGAGGGCGAGGCGCGCGGAAGGGGGCGTGGCCACAAGGGAAAAGGGGCGTGGCCAAAAGAGGGCTTGCCTCTGCCTGGCTGAGCCCTTGCTTATTTATTTATGGCATTTCTGTGCCGCCCTTCTCACCCCGAAGGGGACTCAGAGCAGCTTACAAGATATATCTATATACATACAATATGTTATATTATTAGCCTAGCACAATATCAGTGTTACATATAACTATATTGTAGTAAACCATTATACTGTAATATTATTAGTAATATTACATATCTATATTCTATATTGTTGTTGTTCATTCGTTCAGTCGTCTCCGACTCTTCGTGACCTCATGGACCAGCCCACACCAGAGCTCCCTGTCGGCCGCCACCACCCCCAGCTCCTTCAAGGTCTATATCTTGTTCATTTCTTCAGTCGTCTCTGACTCTTCGTGACCTCATGGACCAGCCCACGCCAGAGCTCCCTGTCGGCCGTCACCACCCCCAGCTCCTTCAAGGTCAGTCCAGTCACTTCAAGGATGCCATCCATCCATCTTGCCCTTGGTCGGACCCTCTTCCTTTTGCCTTCCACCTTCCCCAGCATAATTGCCTTCTCCAGGCTTTGCTGTCTCCTCGTGATGTGGCCAAAGTACTTCGGCTTTGTCTCTAGTATCCTTCCCTCCAATGAGCAGCCGGGCTTTATTTCCTGGAGGATGGACTGGTTGGATCTTCTCGCAGTCCAAGGCACTCTCAGAACTTTCCTCCAGCACCACAGCTCAAAAGCATCGATCTTCCTTCGCTCAGCCTTCCCTAAGGTCCATAGGGAACCTTTCAAAGGCGCTTTGCTACTGCCTTCTTCTTAGAATGAGATTGTGACTTCCTGGTACAGAGGAAGAATTGTTGGAGGCTACAGACAATGCTGTTGCCTGTTTTTGGTCAAAAGATATTTAGCCACTTGAACTCCTATTTTTTATATGAAATAAACTTCCTGATCCCCTGAGTCCTTGACCAATTCTCCGTCTTCTACACCACATTGATATATAGCTACCTATTTTTGTTATATTATTGCTACACCACACTGATATTTAGCTATTTTCTTTACATAACTGTATGCTGCCTTGAAACAAAATTAGATTAATTGGCAAAAGACACACACATTGGTGCCTGTCTTCAGGAGTTTTGGACTTCAACTCTCACAATTCCTAAATTGTAAGTTGGAATGGGTACATTTTAAGTGCAACTCCAGCCGGATAGATGGATAGTTTTGGATAGTATAGAGAACAGTTAACACCCCTGTAGTTTTTCTTCTGCTGCCTGTGACCCTGTTCAGAGGATTTTACCTCACTTTCTCTCCCTGTGATAATTGGATTTTGAATTGGATTTATTATTATTACCAGTATCCTTTCCTAACACAATTGGAACCCGAAAGCAGGCTTACAACTTGAAAGAGCACCATAATTATGTCATGAAAGGGAGCGTTACAATAGAACTAAAGCAACTTTTTTTAAAAGTGTAATTATTCGTAGTAGTTACTATGTTGTTGTTATTAGTTTTACAGTATTTCCTCCCACAGTTATGACTCAGAGCAGGCTCACATGGAAAGGGAACATTGCAATGAAGTTGAACTATTTACTATATTAAAGCAACCTATACCTCAAGTTCAAAGAGTAGTGGCTGTGCCATAGTACTTACTATTGTTATTAGTATTTCTCTTATTCCACTTTCCTCCCAAACTTGAGGCTCAAAGGAGGCTCATGATTTCAAAGGAGACCACAAATGTATACAGAAAAGAAACATTAAAATATAATTTAACTATTTATTGTATTAAAGTAGCTCATACCTCAAGTCCAAAGCATAGTTATTAATATATGTTATTCCATTATTATTGCCTTGCTGTTATTGGTATTACTTTTATTACTCTTTATTTTATTATTTCACTTCATTCCCACAATAATGTCTCAAAGCAGGCTCAGAACTCCAGAGAACACCACAAATGCATACTGAAAGGGAACATTACGATAGAGTAGAACTATTTACCATATTAAAACCATTCACACCTCAACTTCAAAGAGCAGTTGCTATGCTGTTATTAGTGTTACTACAGTATTCTGCTTTCCTTACTTAGTGGGAACTCCAAGCAGGTTGACAACTTCAAATAATACCACAAATACACCCAGAAAGGGAACTTTACAATGCAATTAAACCAGCTCAAGCTTCAAGTTTAATGAGTAGCTGTTATTAGTAGTTAATATTCTACTATTATTAGTATTGCTACAGTGTTATTCCACTTTCCTCCCACAGTTGGGACTTAAAGCAGGCTTACAACCAAAAAGACCAAATGTCACAGTTGCGAACATGACAAAAAGTTAATTGTAAAACAGAATTAAACTATTCGTTGTAGTGAAACAACTCAAGGCTCAAGTTCAAAGAGTAGTTCAGTTGTTCTCAGCCTTTGGTCCTCCAGGTGCTTTTGACTTTTGCTTCCACAACTCCTAACAGCTGGCAAGCTAGCTGGGATTTCTGAAACTGCAAAACACCTGGAGGACCAAAGGCAGAGAACCACTGGTAGTTATTAGTAGTTACTGTGCTACTATTAGTAGTGTTAATATTACTTTTCTGTTTTCCTCTCACAGTTGGGGATCAAATAAGTTATTAGTATTTTAAATTTTATTATCCTGCATTCTTTCCACAATTGAACTTTATTGCAGACTCACAATTTAAAAGGCCACCACAGTACAAACACACAGAAAGTGACTGTTACAATATAATTAAACTGTATTAAAACAGCTCACACAACAGTTGTTGCTGTGCCATTATTAGTTGCTATGCCATTGTTAGTTGTTACTATGTTGTTTTTGTTATTAGGCTTTATTAGTATTACTATAGTATTATTCCATTTTCCTCACACAATTGGGATCCAAAACAGGCTTCTAAGTTTAAAAACCAACAGTGCAACTGCTAACACAACAGAAAGCAAACATTAAAATAGAATTAACCTATGTACTATATTAAAACAACTTACACTTCAAGTTGAAATAATAAAATACTATTTAAAAATATTTTTAAAAGCCCTCAGAAACAGTTTAGTTAAAGAAATACAAAATCCTGTAACCATTTAAAAATTATTATTAATATTATGGCTACTTTTATTATATCTCACCTTTCCCCCCTCAGGATTGATCCCACCTTTTAACAAGGTCTTAGCTTTTAAAATGTGTTAAATGTTTTATCCTGTTAATTTATACTATATGATTATGTTACTTATGGTTTATTTAAGTTGTTTTTTGGTTAATTTTTTTTGTATTAAGTTTGCAGTTAGGTTGTTTGTATTTTGTTAGATGTATTATGTTTTGGTCTAGTTTGTTTATATGTTCTTTGTAGGAATTGAATGTTTGGAAACCACCCTGAGTCCCTTTGGGGAGATAGGGCAGTCTGCAAATAAAGTTTATTATTATTATTATTATTATTATTATTATTACTACTACTACTACTACTACCCAAAGTGTATCACAATTTTAAAAGCCATACAGTTAAACACACATCAAAGGTAAATATTTAAATAGAATTAAATGTGTTGCCATTATTAAAACATTTCAGTTAAAATATAATTGTAAAATAATTTAAAATGCTTTCGAGAAGAACTTTGCTAAACAATACAACACCTCCTACAAAAGATACAAAACTTCAGTTCCTGAGTATACTGTGTGTATTTGCGTGTGTTTTAAAGTTGCCTCTGGACTTATGGTACTTAAGAGTTTCATGGAGTTTTCTTAAGGCAAGGAAAACTCAAAGGTGGTTTTGCCAGTTACTTCCTCTCAAATATCACCTACAGCATCTGATAGGAATTTGGTGCCTTTGGGGTATTAAAGCCACAATTAAACAAATTTTGCTTCGGAAAACATGTGTTCTTGAGCACTTTCTTTAAAAAGGTGGAAAAGTGGAATACAAAATGTATCAGATAACAAAACATTACAAGCATTGTTAATCTACTGAAATTACTAAAATTCTTATCACATATTGGATATGGTTTTCTTAGTTATTCACTTCCCACCCTGGTAGTGTTCTGTCCTATACTGGATTCATATTTGCTTTAACTTTTTGAAGTTTACTGTGAAGGGATGTTGAGCCAGAATAAATTATTTCAGTTGTGAATTATACATTTTAGAAATAAGTTCTGTATCTTCATGTCATTTCTGACAGGCGTTTCATGGGGTTTTCTTGGTAAGATTTCTTCAGAGAACGTTGACCATTGCCTTCTTCTGAGACTGAGAGAATGTATCTTTCCTATGGTCACCCAATGAGCTTCCATGACTGAATAGGGATTCAGACCCTGTTCTCTAGAGACATAGGCCAGTGCTCAAACCAAGATGCTGTGCTTTATTTATTGCACTTATATACCACTTTTCTAACCCTAGGGAGACTCAAAGCGGTTCCCAGTATATTCAATGGCAAAGCTCAATGCTTTACAGGTTTTATACAACACATATTAAAACAACAACAATGACAATAGATTATTCAGAAATATCCCCCCCCCCCTGTTTTTGGTGTAGGAGTAGAAAGGATGGGGTAGTAACGAGATAGTTTTGTGTGTGTGTGTGTGTGTGTGTGTGTGTGTAGGAGCGGCTTAAGAAACTGCAAGTTGCTTCTGCTGTGAGAGAATTGGCTGTCTGCAAGGACATTACCCAAGGGATGCCCATATGTTTTATGTTTACCCTCCTTGTGGGCAGCTTCTCTCATGTCCCTGCATGGGGAGCTGGAGCTGACAGAGGGAGTTCATCCCACTCTTCCAGAGATTCAAACCACTGACCTGTTGGTCAGCAGTCCTGCCAGCACAAGGATTTAACCCATTGCATCCATACCAGATAGGGTAAAGCATAGGTATATAGCATTATTACATTGTTAATTCCCATCGTTGTTTACA